ATACCTCTAACTCCTCTGCCTTTCAAAGAGTTCCAGTCCATCACTCAACCTTACAGCTTGACTTTCCATGATGATTCTCGCTAACAATTTATTTCCTGATGAATGCAGGCAAGTTTGGGAAGAGGCAAAAACGCATGCAGATCAGATTCATCAAATAGAACATATCTTACCAGAAGGTAAGCAACTTATATTGACCTACTTTTGTTCCCAGAGCTACCCCAACATAAAAACTAAACTTAAGCGATTGAAGAGGGGGCCTCTAACTCCACAGGCAGAAATGTTGGCGCTGGCCTTCAAGATGTACCAAGAGAGAGATGAGAAAGTCCGAAAACAGAAATATCACATGCTGGCAAAAGCTATCCGACCGGCCTCAGCCGCTACCCCAGACTTCTGCCTTTGAAGGGTCAGGGACCACCAGGTTCCTGCTATAAACTGGGTCAACCTGGTCATTGGGTGAAGGCTTGCCCCAACCTCAGCAAGTCAAGGGGACCATGTCCTAGATGCCATCAGAAGGGACATTGGGCTGTCAATTGCCCTCATGTCGCTCAGAACAGAGGGACATTGCTCCCAGAAAACCTGACCTTCAGCTGACCTTTTAGGATTGGCTATGGAGGACTGACAGGGCCTGAGCTCTCTTGACCCAACCACACCTATCACTAGCAGGGAGTCCCGGGTAGCTATTATGGTATGTGGAAGATCCATCTCCTTCCTCTTGGATATTGGGGCCACTTACTTGGTCCTGATAGAGTTTTGGGGACCCACTTCACCTTCATGTTTTCCTATAGTTGGGGTAGGAGAACAACCTTACCTTCCTCACCAGACCTCAACTCCTAGTTGCATTTTTAGAGGTGTACCTCTCATCCATTTCTTTTTAGTAGTGCCTACATGTCCTGTCCTCTTATTGGGAAGGCATACTTTAGCTAAGTTTGGAGCCTCTATTTCTTTTGTTCCCCTGATTCACCTAAACTCAAGCTCACCAGCAGTACCTCTGCTTCTTCTTCTAGCCAGCCAACCTACGAACACTAACATGTTAATTCCCTTACCAGCTTCTCAGGTGGACCCCGTGTTTTGGGATGACCAGAATCCCTCTGTTGCTAAACATCATTCTCCTGTTGTCAGCTAGTTACTGGACTCTACCGGGGCTCAGACAGTCTCTGATCTCCTCCAGGAGATCATCCCCCAATTTGGTGTCCCAGCCTCCCTTCAGTCAAACAATGGTCCTGAATTTACTTCTCAGGTTTCTCAAATTCTATCTAAGGCCCTAGACATCCCCTGGCATTTTCACATTCCCTACCACCCTCAATCTTCAGTTAAGGTAGAAAAAACTAACCACTCTTTTAAAAATCACTCTTGTCAAGCTGTCACAGGAACTTCACCTTGAGTGGGTGAAACTCTTACCTCTGGCTCTTTTCAGGCTATGAGCTCTCCCTAAGCATCCTCTCCTCATCTCACCCTTTGAACTCATGTATGAACTTCCAGTTCTAACTCCTGCTCTTTCACCTAAATGCTTTCCCCTCCCAGACCATCTACTCACCCCATTACTTTGCCACCTCTGTTCTCTCTTGTGGAACTTTGCTGACCACTGTCTGCCTTGACCACACACAGTCTCCTGTCTACTGCCTGTCAACATTGGAGACCAAGTCCTTCTCTCCCCTCCAGATCATCAGCCCTCACCCCTCTCTCCCAAATGGCAGGGCCCTTTTAAGGTAATTCTTGTGACCCCTACAGCTGCTAAACTTGAGAGACTCCCTCATTGGGTCCACTTGTCTCACCTCAAGCCTTTCATCCCTCCATCTAAAATCAACTCTTCTTCATACACATCGTCCCTAACAGGACCATGCTCTATTAAGCTCCAGAGGACATCAAAATCACCCAACTTGTCCTCAATCCCAGAAAATGAGATTCCACTTCGGCAGCCAACATCGACCTCACTGGACTAGACATGGGTTTCTCACCCTCCTTCCCCCCCAACTGCATGCTTCTATCCAGGTCAGCCCTTACATCTAGAGATTTGAGGTTCAAGAGACCCCCCCCCACAGATAACAGTCTTCCCAAACAGGGCCAGGAAACTGCTCCATAGCTGGATGCCAAGAACCAATCCAAATTGCTGTCATCCCTATATCTGTTGTCCCATCTAAATATTATATTCTCTATACTTGCTTTCTCTTTGACCAGATAGATTGTGGAAACTGTCCAGACAATTATGGGGGCTGCCCATATTGGTCTTGTCAGATACATATGCTAGGATCATGGACCAACCATTTCTTCTACCTACACTGCAAGACACTCTTTTCTACATACAAGACCTGTGGGATTCCAGCTGTGGTGCATCAGAACTGATGGAGCCAGATGTCCTGCTAAAGAAGATGGTCTTTGCCAGTTCCTCCAATAAGAATGCTGTCTTTAGAGAAAGTGAGACCTCTAGTTCTGAGATAAATATATATAAAAGTAGATACTCTTTTGTAACACCCATTTTAGTCATTCTCTTGGTGTTACTATTTCTAACCAAACTATTAATCAGTTCCTGTTACAGCATTATCAGCTGCTGTCCATAGAGGATCATGATGCACACACCTACCGAGTGGACCCTGATGGTGAAAGCCAGCTACTCCCCACAATGGACTACGCCCCTACACAGCAAGTAGTTAGAGACACTGTGCCCCAACTCCCCTTTCATATAGGCTTCCCCTCCCCTTTTTTTCTTCTCACTATAAGACAAACAGAGGTATGTTGGTATCAGGCTCCGAACCCAGTGACATCACATCTAGGTGACCCCCACATTGTTGCCAAGGCAACCTCCATATGTTCCCAGAATCCACCTGGCTACCACACCTTTACCTGGGAGAGGCTACATCACCACCTATATAAGACAGACAGAACCCCCTGACCACTCTTCTTCCTCTCTTCTCTCTTTTCTTCAATCTTCTTCTACTCCCACCCCCACCCCATCTTTGCCCTATCTCCTGAATAAACACCCTTTGGGACCATTTGGTCTGGTGTGGTCTGTTCTAAGCCACACACAGATGTCTAACACAAACACCTTCAGCTCCTTCAATCTTCTAACTCATCTACTCGGAACCCCATGATCAGTTCAATGGTTAGCTGCAAGCATCTGCCTTTGTATATGTCAGGCTCTGGCAGAGCCTCTAAGGAGACAACTATATCAGGCTCCTGTCAGTGTGAACTTCCTGTCATCCACAACAGTGTCGGCCTTTAATGACTGTAAATTGGAGTAGTCTCTGGACAGCCCCTCATTCAAGTTTCTGTCCCACATTTTGTCTCCACAATTGCTCCCACGAGTATTTTGTTACTGCTTCTAAGAAGTATGACAGCACCCACACTTTGGTCTTCTTTCATGAGCTTCATGTGGTCTGTGAGTTGTATCTTGTGTATTGTGAGATTTTAAGCTCATATCCACTTATCAGTGAGTGTATACCATGTGGGTTCTTTTGTGATTGGGTTACTGAACTGAGGATGATATTATCTAGGTAAATCCATTTGCATAAGAATTTCATGAATTCATTGTTTTCAATAGCTGAGTAATCCTCCATTGTGCTCTAGGATCAAGAATTGACAAATGGGACCTCATAAAACTGTGATGCTTCTGTAAAGCAAAGGACATTGTCAATAGAACAAAATGGCAACCAACAGATTGGGAAAGGATCTTTACCAATCCTACATCTGATAGAGGGCTAATATCCAATATATACAAAGAACTCAAGAAGTTAAACTCCAGACAATCAAATAACCCTATTAAAAATGGGGTACAGAGCTAAACAAAGAATTCTCAACTAAGGAAACTCAAATGGACAAAAGCACCTAAAGAAATGTTCAACATCTTTAGCTATCAGGGAAATGCAAATCAAAAGAACCCTGAGATTACACCGCACACCAGTCAAAATGGCTAAGATCAAAAACTCAGTTGGTAGCAGATGCTGGCAAGATGTGGAGAAAAAGGAACACTCCTCCATCGTTGGTGGGATTACAAGCTGATACAACCATGCTGGAAATCACTCTGGCGGTTCCTCAGAAAATTGAATGTATTACTTGAGGACCCAGGTATATCACTTCTGGGTATATACTCAAAAGATGTTCCAACATATAACAAGCTCCACTATGTTCATAGAAGCCTTATTTATATAATAGCCAGAAGCTGGAAAGAACCCAGATGTCCTTTAACAGAGGAATAGATACAGAAAATGTGGTACATATACACAATGGAGTATTACTCATAGGCTGTTCTTCCAGGACATAAGTTCACTTCCAAATACTTGTGACAGACAGCACATAACTGCCTAAAACTTGAAGTTCAAAAATTTTGAGGTCCACTTTTGGCCTTTGCAGTTACCTATGCTAATGTACTCCTACACACACACACACACACACACACACACACACACACACACCAAAACTATGACGCATTAATATTCAAAATGCAAAGCAAGTAGATTTAGATAATGTCTAACTCACTCTTTAATATAAAACAAAACATCAACAATTTCCATTATCTGAGTATCTGGTCTCAGGTCTCTGTTAAGGGCTTCTCATGCATATCCAATTAAAATTTCTCCAACAAACTTTTAGAGTAACATTATTTCCTGGACCAACAATAACACTATGCTAATCCAACAAAAGGAAAAACTTCTGTTAAGAGATTCCAAAGCACTACCTTAAAGATACTTACTACTTTTATTGGGTGCTTAAGAAACCAGTGTGGGAAAAATGTCATTATAAGGCAGTCATTTTAGTATAACTGTCTGTGAATGGCTTGTCTGAAACTATAAAGCAAACAAAAAGCCACATCTGCCTTGTAAAACACATCTAAATGGGGTAAAAAGAAATCATATCTCATTGGAATCTTTGTAATCTCTAATTTTTTTTATTATACAATGCAACAAAATAAAGATCCTCCTCTTTTTCTTTTGGAAGAAGTTTGAGGTTAGAATATACATGGTGTATGTTCTTGCTTCAGAATGTCCACCCTTGTTTTCTGCTTCTGCTTACACACTGCTTCTGATGCACAAGAAGTTTTTTTTTCTCTCAGAAACCAGAAATGCCTGGGATTCTTTACTAAGGTTGATAAATCGAAGCCTAGAAAGATGTAAAAAAAAATACCAACAACAACAAAAACAAAAACAGCATTAATAAATTCACTTATCTTTTACAGTTTAAGGTCCTTATTTTTAATGTTTGTGCATGCCTCTGTGAGTTTATGTGTACAACATGTGTGCATGTGTCTGTGGAAGTCAGTAACCAGATCTCCTGGAACCACTTTTGCAGCAGTTGTGAGCTGCCATGTTGAGTGCTGGGAACTGAAGCTGAGTCCTCTGTGAGAACAAGTACTCTTAACTGAGGAGCCATTTCTCTAGACCCTCACCCTTACTTTTGTGCTCTCTAAATTCTCATTTTCCCTCCATATTTTTTTTAAGGCCAAGTTCAGGAGATGCTGATGTTTCCTCTAATAGTGTAACATACCCATGCTATGTAAATGGTATGCTGATACATGTTTAACATCCAGTCACTTCCATAAAACCATGACTTGGGAATTGGAGAGATCGCTCAGTGCTTAAGAACACTAGTTACACTTGTAGAAGACCCAGGCTTAATTCTCAAAAATTCTTCTTACAATCATCTGTAATTTCTGTTACAAGGCATCTCTTACCATCTTCTGGCCTCTAAACCAGAACATTCATGCAGGCAAATTCTGAATACACATAAAAATTTTTAAAATAAGGTACAATTTTAATTTGTTGATGTGGTTGTGTGTGTGTGTGTGTCTACCAGAGATTAATATCAGGAGTCTTTAACTGTTTTCCACCTTATATGTTGGAGACATTGTCTCACATCTAAATTGCCATTCATGGACTGTATGGCCAATTACTTTAAGGGAGCCTACTGGCTCCACCATTCTCTGTGGCCCTAATGTTACAAACATATGAGACCACAATCAACATTTTTTTATGTAGACACTGAAAATCTGAACTCATGTTCTTCTTCCTGCTGCAAAAACTTTATTTGACTGAGCTTCTTTGTAGCTTCTACTTTGGCTATCTCTGTGCTATGAATTTTACACCCCAACTGTAATCTGCTTCAGTTCCATGTCAACATCCAGAATGATAGTATTCCACTGATTCCATCTAAGTCTTAGAGTTTTGCATAGAACACTTGGAAAAAGGTTGACAATATTTTTGTCAAGCCCCAAACAATAATTTCTTCCAAAATATTAGTCTGATCTTAGTCCTTTGGCTAACTGTTCTCATGCATGTATACACACACACACACATTCCTGTTTCTGTTTTTTTCACTCAGTATTAATTACTTTCATATTGTTGAAGTAAGACACCATGACCCAGGTAACTTACAATAGGGAGGGCATATTTGTATAAAACCCTATCTGAGTATCTGAGACATTTTCATTCAAACTATCACACTATTTATATTTTATGCTTTAAGTAGCTTTGCTCTATAGCAATGAACAATATTCCTAGTTCATATATTAATTGTATCATATGTCTGTCTCTCTGAGACTTTCCAATGTGGTGTAAGAGGACTAGAAGAAAGTAATAACTCTTAACTTGTTTCATAAAATCTGAAAGATTATCTGACACCTATATATTTTTTAATTTCTTATATCAAATAATGACTCTTACTTTGAAGATCAAATCTCAGGAACTGATACCTTGTTCCAGGGTGCAAAGTAAATACAAATGAATTGAAAACAAACACAAAGCTGGAAGGTTTAGAAAATGACAGATAACTCACCTGTTTCTACTTTGTTATGCATCCTCTACAGCTTGGTACCCTCTCAACTTCTAACCAACACCAATTAAGAAAGAAATCTTGAGTAGACACTTAACATTTCCAAGGGTCAGGAAAATGTGCAAGAGTAAATCTTAAAGAAGTGAGCTTGTGTCTTCTTCCAAAAGAGGCAACTAGAGTTATAAATATTATAACTCAATATTTAGAAGACATATTCCACCTGTGAGTCATGAGCCACATGCAGAAGGTTGCAGCTATGAAAATGTCTAGAACAAAAGTTTACTCAGAACAATAAGATTTCTTTTGTAAACCAACTGCAAAGTTTATTAATGTGAATTGTGTGAGTGTGTGTGAGTATGTGTATGTGTGTATGTGTGTGTGTGCTATATTGTAATGTCAAAATGTTGGACACCATGATAAGGCTTTCATTTCCTAGAAATGAGTAGTTGAATAACTACCTAAAATGACCCTGGTCTTTAGGGCTAGGGGCAACGAATCTTCTAGTGAAGTGAACAAGAATGAGGACCTGAGGCTAATTCCCAACATCCACATAAAAAGCTGAAAATAGTGGCATATGACTGTACTCCAAGAACCAATGAAGAAAGGATTACAGGTCCCTAGCACTTGATGGCTAATCAGTCTTAAAGAATTTGTTAGTCACAGGTTCCAGTGACAGATCCCATCTCAAAAGTAACAGATGGATGGCAGCTGATGATGGATGGTGATGAGAGGCTGTTCTCTTACCTCCACACTTGTGTACACAATCCATACATACATGTGCACTTGAAATCACACACTTTCACAAAAATTTCCTTGATCTCATATGTGTTTCAAGACCATAGTAGGAAAAAAGGAACCACATGGAGAATGGTGAAGATTTTTAAAAATAATATTACATACTATATATCATACTTATAAAATATCTTATGCATATATGAAGTACTCTGGATCACATGTTTATATGACAAATGCACAACATAAACCATTATCTACAAGTAGAACAACCTAGCTCACTTAGCCTAACTTAAATGTTCTCAGAGCACTCACTTAGGCTTCAGGTGGGCAAAAAATCAAATCACCTCACATAAAGATCATTTTATATTAAAAGTTTGAAATGTTAAAATGATATCTCATGTAACTAATGACAACTGTGTTGGAAGAAAAGAGTGAATGACTAGGTATGCCTTCACATTGTAGATCCAAACAATCTTACATGAGAACTATCCGAATAAACAGTTGTGTTCACAATTGTATTTATCTTTATCCTTATAATAGTATCAAGTATCACCAGTACATATTTACTCACTAGTCACAGGGTAAAAAATGGCTTTATGTTTAATCTACTACACTGCAACAGGCACTCCAACGCAGTGAGAAAATATTACTTGAATTTATTTTCATTTTAAATTTTAAAAATCTTTTACTGTGTTCCCTCCTCAAACACCAGTTAACTGCCCATAGGCCCTCAGTGAGAGGTGGAGTTTCTTGATAAGATATGCTTACTGGTGCAGTAGTTTCAGGATTATTATGAGTGTGACCAATCACCTTACTCACCATTGAGATACTTGCATTTTGGGTGTGTATATGTGTGTAAACAGGCAGAGGCCAGAGGCCAATCTCAGGTATCATTCTTGATTTGTGAGATGGGTTCACCGATTTGTCCTGGAACTCACCAATTTGACTAGACCCACTGGCCAGTGAATATTAAAATCCTCTTGTATTTATCTCACCAGTACTGGGTTATGATTGCAAACCCCATGCCTGGGATTTTATGTAAATTCTGGGCATGCAACTCTGATCCTTATGCTTGTGTGATAAGCATTCTATGAACTGAGCCACCTCCCCTGCTCTTATTACTATCTTTAATGAATATATTATTAGCTTCATATTTTAGATCTCAGTTAATCCCTTCTTATCTCTAATGACTCAACATATCAAGGAGAACAGAGGTTCGCTCACCCAAGCACATGGAATGCACACTTTTGTTGCTCCAAGCCTCTCTGGTTCCAACAATTTCAATTCACTAATTTCATAGGCATTCCTACACAGGTTGACACCACACAAGGTTTTAGACTCAAGAAAAGCAGAAAGAAGGTCCTCCATACTAGCACAAGTTATGTCACAAGCTTCCAACCTACAACAAAAAGGAATCGGTCTATGTCAGGGTGAGAAGGAATATTTGTAGAAGGTTAGTCATTTATCCTACGCTCACTTCCTACCCTCTGAGGACAGTCACTTAAAAGCTTAGTGTTCACATTATCAAATTTTACTTTCATTGGCAAATGTGACCACAATTAGCCATCCTCACTATCTATGTCTATGGTGACATAGCACTAATAGTCTGCTGCCCCAGTCCTAGAACTTGGGATGAAATTGGACCTTGTAATGTGTAATACAATGAAACAAAGGACAAGAGTTGGTGAGTTCTGAGCCAACACCTTGATATCTTTTGATTTGAAATATTGAGATTCATTTTACACTTGACTAAATCATTTCCCTCCAAAATTCATTTGTTGAAGTTCTAATCCACAAAGTCTCATGGGATTAGATTTTGAGAAAGACTCTTTACAGAGGCAACTAAGCTAAAGTGAGGCAATCTGTTGGGATCTAATCTTGTATAACTGTGAAGACACAGGGAGAAGACAACCAATTTCATGTCAACGAAAAAAGCCTGGAATACACTCCTTGTCTTGGTTCTCTAAAGGAACCATCCCTGATGATAGTATAATCTCACTTCCACCATATACTCCTGTGTTTACCAATAAATCCCTACTATATGAGCCATTCAATCTATTTTTGACATGACAGCCATAGCAGTTGCCATATCACTTAAGTCCACTTAAGCCAGTGAGTTGTGGCTTCTGTGAGTTCTGTCATCTCCAGTGGACATCCATCCATGTGTCCATCCAACCAATCATCTATGTATTTATCCAAGCAAATATGCATCCACCCATGTAATAAAAATCTTTTTATTGCATGCAACTGTGAATCATCCTCCTATGTATAGATTCAGTCATCCTTCTTAGCATCCACCTATATATCCATGCATCTTTTCAACCATCCACATACTTTCTCATTTTCCTACATCCCCTCCCAACACTTAGATTGGTACATATTATAGTTTCCTATATGATCAACTTTGTATGTATTCCCAGTCCAGATACATCACACCTGATTAGACTAACAATCAGCCAATAGTAAAAATGCACAGCTTCTAGGCTTGAAGTTGTGGAGTGGCTTATTAGTACAAACACTGTTAACTGCTATGTTGTCCCTATGGATTTTTTTTTATTGGTATTTTACCTACATGTATGTATGTATAAAGTTGGTGTTTTCCCTGAAACTGGAGTCATAGACAGCTGTGAACTGCCATGTTGGTGTTGGGACTTGAACCTGGGACCTCTCAAAAGGCAGCCAGTACTCTAAACTACTCAATCATCTCTCCATCACTGTATGGATTTTTAATTTCTTTTTCTGCACATTAATTGACCACCTTTTGGCACCCTCAAAGACATAGATAAACCTTGATGATACCTACCCAAGACTCACTAAGTTGCAGTTGGGATGTTTTATAGCATCACACAGCAGCTTCACACCAGCATCTTCTAGCTTATTTTCTGAAACATTTAAGCCCTTCAGGTTCTGGTTGTTCCTCAGTATTTGAGCCAGGCACTGGCAGCCACTAGAAGTGATGAGACAAGATGTCATACTGAAAGAGAAAAATCACAATACTGTGGTTACTCCCAGTTCTGAAAAAGAAGTATTTCACAAGGCTCAATGATGCCTGAAACTAAAGACAACACGCAAGGATTCAGAAAATAGCATTTACTCAGTGGTCAACAGACAACAAAACCTGAGTACATCTTGTACAGTCATATATTTAAATTTCCTATAAGATTAATTACACTACACAGTAATTAAAGTTAAAATAGGGGGCTGAAGAGGTGGTTCAGAGTTCAAGGGTCATTTTTCTTACAGAAGACCCAGGTTTGATTGCTAGAATCTATGACAGGAAGCTCATGAGCATCCAGTTCCAGGGGATCCAATTCCTTCTTGCAGCCTCCTGCAGGGACTTGCATTCACAAACACTCAAAAGCACACACACAGTACTTGAAGCAAAAAAAAATCTTTTGAAAAGTTAAAATAATATTATGTTAAATAATAATTTTTATCAATGAATGAATACAAGTAACTCATATGAAAATGGAGAGGGGCACTCAGGGTAACCCAAAACATATATAAAGTAGGGTAGGAGAGGCTACTGTTGAGCTTTCAAGGATTATACTTTATATCAAGGGAATAAAAAGGACATGGTATCTGATTCTAGCCTACTTTGGTTAAAAAAAATACCAACCAAATAAAGCATACAAAACAGAGTCCATTTTATGTTTGCCGACTATTCCTGAGTATGAAGCCTACCATGATATACTAAATTTCATTCCATTGGAGAAAACTGATTTTGGCCCTCCCAGTGAATTTTAAAATACATAGTATTTTTAGAGTCTTCAAGTGGTTTATACTTTTAAAATACTTTTCTTCATTCTTTATAGTGCTGGGGAAGCATAAACAGTTTTAATGATTTTATAATGTATGGCATCCTGTATGGCACCTTAGTGTGTTTAGAAAGACATCATTAGAAGGAAAACACATTCTCCATTTGGTTGGCACTTTGTTCCTTATCCTCTTTCTAGAGAGAACAAAAATATTATGAATCTGAAATTTCATAACAGATCAGGTAACAATATTCTCCCAAATAGCACACATCAGGATTTGTCATCTAAAGGCATTTGATCCAGGAATACTAATCCACTTGGCATGTTCAAATCAACAACCATATTAAATTACCCCTAAACATATTGATTTTATAATTTGAAATCAAGTATTCTGTCATTTCTCTTCTCATTACTGTTACTTGAATTTTCACACACACACTAATTCACACATGTATTTTAGGGTGCCTTTTCCATGTCTTCCTCTTCCTTTGGACTTGAAGTGTCTTCAATAGGCTCCTGTGTGTAAACACTTATTTCCCAGATGGAGCCACTGTTTGAGGATGTTGTGGGATCTCTGGAATATTGGGGTCTAACAGGTAAATGGGGTATATTGTGTTGGACTTAAGGACCTTGATTTTAGTTCCACACTCTGATTCCTGATCCACAAAGCCCACTCTACCATACACTTTTCTCTAACAATAGAAATTAGACCATTCTATAACATGACCTATAACGAACCCTGAATCCCTTATGCTGTTTATATCAGATAGTTCATCAGAGTCACAGTGATTACAAAAAGTCATTATTCATTTTCAAACAACAATTCCTTGGGCTCAAGACATAATTCCTTTATTTATCTCAGTCCTTTGTGTCTATATTCTAAGCTGCTACCCACTGCATACCAAAACCATGATACAGAGGTCAAGGCACAGATCTGTCCTAAGGAAAGGGTCTTCAGGAAAAAGAGGTGACTCTAACCTCCATATTCTCAGGTATATACATTAAAGATTTCTAAACAGGGCCTCCAAGACCAAGTTCAAAGAAACCTACCTTATGGTTTCCAGGACACAGTGTGGTAGAGTTAGAGCCTTACAGAGAATCTCCAGTCCTTTATCTTTCAGGTCATTACAGCTGATGTCTAGATGGCCCAGAGTTTTGCTGCACTGAAGAGCATAAGAAAGGTATTCCCAACATTGATCACTGAGGGAACATCCGGCCAATCTGTAGGAGTGAATAAAGGGCATATGAAGGAAAAAAATTAATAATCCCACAAATTTACACACAATAACAGTAAAATATTCAAGCAAGAGGAGGAACTTCTGGCTTATCAAAACACATCCCCCTTCATTTCTTCTGATTCACATTAAGATCTAGCATTGGACCCGAGTAATTAATTGAAAATACTTTGGAAGACCTTACCAAATCTTATATATAAATGTTACAAATCTTTTATATTAACAATGCCTTAATCAGTGTCTCTAATGATGCTTTTAATGGCTATGTGAATATTGTAATATAGGCAACTATATCAAAGTTGTGTAATAAACTCTATGAAAAATATTTTGGCAAACAATATGTATGTGGTTTAGTCTCAGTTCTGTTGCTGTGATAAATTTATACTAGCAAAAAAAATCAATTATGGGTAGAGAGAATCTAATTTATATATATATGTTTGCAGGTACATATTGTAGTATGCATGTGCAAGTCAGAATAGCTTTGTGGAGTTGGTTCTCTCCTTCAAACATTACATGACTGTTTTGAAGGTTGAACTTGAAATATTCCTTTCTCGGACTGCTGTACATTTGGAACTACAGGGATGTGAAATCAACCATGATGTATATGTGCATGAGTAAGTGTTTTAAAATTTTGTTTTTAACAGTGTACATTTATGAACGCTATGTGTGAGTCTGTCCATGTGAATGAGGGTTACTGTGGAGGTTGTTTGATTCTTCAAACCGAGAGCTAAAAGTGCTTATTAATTTCGGTGCTAGGAAACAAATGGATCCTCTGGAAGAGCAATGTGTATTTTCTTAACCACATAGCTACCTTTATAGCTCCTTGTGCTTGTCTTTCTTTCTAAGGTTTGTGCTTTGAAACTTCTGCTATGGGACTGTATCAATGGCAAGAAATTAAAACTAATTAACATGTCTGGGTGGTATTTTAAAGAATACCTTGGTCTCTGGACGGGATTCCATAGAAGACCTTCCTTCAGTCAGCAGGTCAACAATGAAACTATGAAAATTCAAGGAAAGAAAGAATCCAGTACTACCAAAGGACACTTTGGCTGCATTCTAAACTCAAGGAATGGGAGACTGGTTAACTATTCTAGAATATTATAGATGTAAACAATACTCTCATATCATCACTATCAAAAGTCACAGCTATCCTAGACAGGCATCCCTTTCCCACAGGAAACTTTCTGTTTTTCACTGTTGTGGAGTAAGGGGTCTGGTTTGTTGACATTAGACACCAGTGTCTTAGACTACCGCTTGTGTCTCTATACTGCCTCAGAAATCTAAGAAAGTGTATGCTGCATATGTGCTCCTATGTTAAGAGGTTGGAGGATGATGCAAATGTCATCCTTAGTTGCTATCTACCATTTTTGAGACTGGGACTCACCAATAAAGCTAAGTCTTCTCTTCTAGGACATACCTGCTGAGGGCCAGCCCCAACAGGGTCTTCTTTCTTGTTAGTTTTCCTTGAGGCAGCAGAGGGAGAAGAGTGTTTGATGGATGCTAAGACTTTTGTCTTATGACATATGGGGTTAAGACTTGTCTTACTAGATATTGATGGTTGCTGTATAATGATAAAATGTTTAATTATCTAAGTCTAAGTGACTTTGCTATTGTAGCTGACCTGCCTTCTGTGTTCCTCTGGAAACCAGAAACTGCAGTCTCTAATATTTAGCACCTTATCCTAAAACAATAGGAGATTAAGTAAAGAATTAACTGCTAGAGCATTTTCTATTTTGTCCAGATGCCTCTTACTTGTCAGGCTAGGAGGAAGTTAGGAGAAATAAATTTCCATTGAACCAGAAGAGAATCATGCTCACAGAAGGAAAAAGGTTTACATAAGCAAATATGTATAAACTCACATAAATTCATGTACAGATTCACACATGAGTATTTATACATATCCACTCAAGTCAGTTAAGGTAAGCTTGCCTGCATCCTCATAATTAAATACTTACACACACACACACACACACACACACACACACACACACACACACACACACAGACACACACACATCTATACTTACATATGCATTTTAAGCAAAAAAAACCAAGGACCAGTGTAGAAAGAACACACTCATTCTGGATGAAAAAATGAGCTCCAATCATTCCATACAGAAAGAAAACACTTCTAAGCTTTTACTGTTAAATGAATTAAACCCAAGTTTGTAAGAAGAAAGCTTTGTTTCTTTTAATAAGACTAAGCCTGCCTTATTATTAAAAAAAACAAAACAAAAAAAAAAGATCTGTTCTATCCCACGGTAAAGAGAAGCCTGCCAGGTTCCTTCTGCTCTCTCTGCAGCTACTTCTTTCCTCTTTCCCTCTACATTCTGCATATTGCTCTTTTAGATTTATTTTGTGTTATCTTATAATTTCTAAGTCATTCCACTCTTGATTGCATTGTATAGTGCTTTTCAGCTGTAATATAGGAACTTATTTGTACATTCTATACAAAACAATGAAATATGCATGGCAGGGTGGTACAGTGTTAATCCAAAAATCCAAACAACATTTTCCTTCTAAACTTGCTTTCTCCTCCTACTCTGATGTCAAAATAATGTTCTTGCTCTCAATGCCTTTTGTCCCATTGCTATGCCTTTACTTCTAAGTTCTTCTAGAGGTCAGCTCTGTCTAAACACTTTTGAGTACTTACTAAAATAATTATCCTCAGTTCTGTCTTTAAAAGTTCTGTTCAGATCTGACTAAAAAGTGTTCTGTTTAAAAAGGTCTCCTCAGCCCAGTTCTGTCTCTTTTCCTTGTCCTCAGCTCTTGCATACCTTTCAGAACACCTGATTACGTGGTAAAAAGTTCATCACAAGTTTACGTATAAATTCATATCATAAATTGAAATAGAATTTTAAAACAGAGAAGGTTTACATGCATACCCAGTAGAAGTAATTATCTGCCTAGACCTTCATCACCTGTCACAGTTCCTTGGGTTCATGGAAAGTTAAAAAAATATAACTATGTTATTAGTGAAGTTTTGTATGGATAAACCCAGTCAGCATTTTATCTTCTGTCCTTGAACATATAATAAACCATAATTCACTTTTTATGACCTTTGGTTAATGGTTTTAAAACTTTTGGAATATACTCTGTGTAGTAGAAGCAATTAACTGGTGACAGACTGGCAGAGTGCTCATTACAGTTTTGACTATCAGAAAGGACCTAATAGCAATCTCACTATAAAAGAGCTTAATAAATACTGACATAATTTTAGGAATTCTTATAGGATCATAATTAAGAAGTCATATATTTATCTATATAACATCACTACAAGACAGCACATCTTTGTAGATCTTCAGAGATCTGCTCAAAAGGGTAGGCTAATACCTAGCGATTGTTATATGTGTTTAATTATAAAAGGAAAAGTATATAAATAGCAGGAATCTTTCCTAAAATGATTTTCCCCTTGGCCTCACCTATGAGAGCAAATTGGTCATGGATTACTTTAATCCTAGGCAGACCATCTTGGGAAGATCACCTGCTAGTTAGTAGCTTGTCCTATGTTGGCTCCTGACATATACCTATCCTGAGTTCTTAGCTCTAGGATTATAAACATCCAGTTCTGCTGTTGTTAGCATAGAAAGTACACCTACCCACTGAGGAATTTACCCAGACACACCTGGCAGATATTAGTAAGTAGAGGCAGGTTGGAAATGATTTCCACAGTTTTCCCCAGTGTGTACCTCCCAAGACCACTTACATTAAGTTCTTCAGAACACAGCCTGGGCGGCACAAAGCCTTACACAGTGAGTATATCCCTTGGTCCAAGTTGTTGTATGCCAAATCAAGAGTCTTCAAGGTCTTGCTCCTCATCAGGACGCAGGCAAAGTCCTCACAGTCATCAGATAAAAGGTCACAGCCTTCTAGCCTGTCAGAAAATATCATATTCTTTTTTGTCTACATATTTTCTCTTGTTATTCCCATGAAGATTTGGGACCTCTCATTACTTGATAATGTTCTTTATTAAACAACAGAAAATATTTATTTTTAGTGTATGAATGTTTCCCTATATGTACTTTTGTGCATCAAAATGTGTGGCTGATGCCTTGACAGACAAGATGGGGGATATCATGACCACTAGAATTAGAGTTACAACTGATTGTAAACTATGAGTGTAGAGTGTGAGTGCTGGGAAAGAATTTAAACCTTGGTTCTCTGCATGAGTAGTAAGTACTCTTTTCCCAACCAGTCATCTTTCCAGATGAGTTTAAAAATTACATTTATTTATTGGTATGTGTATATGTGTGAACCCCTCGAGTTACCAGATGTAACATATACTATATTGGTAAGTTCTGATCTGCTGTTTAAACCTGCTGAAATTGAACTCTGAAAGTAAGGTGGTTTTTCCTGTCCCAGACCCCAATACATTTATTGTAAACACCCTCTAAGGCTCTGTCCTGGGATAGGCTAGCCCCTATGAATCTGTAGTAAGGAGTGGGGACAGCAGTCACAAAGCCTAAAAGTAAAACCACTGTGTTTCTGAGAATTGCTGTATGGTAATCCAGTACCAACCAAAGTTACTATTATTTATGCCACAACATGATAACATCATACAGCGTGAAAGAGAAGGACAGAAGGAACCCATAGGTTGAAATAATGCTCCGCTCTGCCTGGAACTCTCCATAGAGAACACGAGCAGGGCTGTGTCAAGGCCTCCCCAATCATTTCTCTTGGATGAGCCAAAGCACCTCTCTTGCTCATGTTATTTTTACTCAGTATCTGCTGTTATTTTTTTTCTTTTATTTAGGGCCCCAAAATGAACACCCTGTTCTACATCCCAGGACAGGAGATGAGGATTTTTCCCTGACTGATTCAGTGAGATTTCTTCAGTCAATTTCTGTTGTATGTCTGTAGGCTTTGATATGTCATCCTTAGTTTTCTCTCTCATTGGGCTATCCTAGCCTCCTCTGATGATGTGTCAGATCTGATAATTTGCTAGCTACCTGTGGCTACTTTCTACTTAATTATTTTCTTGCTATATAACTCAGTATACTTAAGTCATTCAAAAGTATGGTTATCATAAAAGCCTACAGAATGATAATAGCCAAGGCAGAAAAACAGGTTAAAAGTGAATATATTAAGAACTGTAGTCCTCCATATTCATTCCCACCCTCATCTTCCATCACTAGCCACAAACCAGGAACTATTATTATCCTTGCCTCTAATACCACATTCCTGTCCGTCACTGAACTTCATATATGAAGCACATGACATTCTTTTGAATCAAATTAATGCCATCAACAATATCTGAGTTCCATCTATGTATAATCAATAACCATAGGTTTCTCACTCACCTTACTGTCAGTAAGAATTTCAACTTTTCAGGATTGAACACATGCCAAAAGTGGTTCAGGAAGCACCTATCTTTGAGCAAATGGAGTTATATAATCATAGATTTTATACTATCAGTAAGAGTTCTGAGTTCTAGGGTAGTTCAGAAGCCATGAAATCTGAACTGGTGCCATGATATTCAAAGTGGATATACCCAGCTATAAATTAACTTTCACATTCCATAATCAGTTCAAGTTAACTTTAAATTAGACGTACTCATTTTTATTTCACATGTATTTTGCCTGCGTGTATCTTTGTACTACATTCATAATTTGTGCTTGTAGTTTCATAAGGTATAAGATCCTCTGGGACTAGAGTTACAGACTGTTAGGGCTGAAGCTGGGAGAGAAACAAATCATCATAACAACCCAGCACTTTAAATTATTATAAACTACCCAAATGAAATTAATTTATTAATTTGTTTATTTACATTGTGTGTACATGCTTAAGTACATATGCTATAGTATGCAATATACTATGTGGAGAATGTGGAACAAACGAGGACAACTTGTGGAAGTTGATTCTTTCCTTTCTCCATATGAGTCCTAGGATAGAACTCAGGTTGGCAGAAAGTGCCTTAACCAACTGATTCTTCTTATTGACTAGCTGTGATTAGATCTTAAAGTGAGGAAGTCTACACATGAACAATAGAAAAATAGGACACAAGTTCACAAATTACAAACTCTAGTCCTGTGATGGCTTTAATGTCAACTTGACACAATCTAGAATCACTTAGAAAGGAAGTCTCATTGAGGGGTTGAAGTTAACTGAGCTGGTAAGACCTGCCGACTGTGGGTGACACCATTCCTCAGGAAACAGAATCCTGACCTATATAGGAATGGCGAAAATTAGATGAACACTAGCAAGTGTACATTAATCCACTGCTCATTGCTCTTAATAGTACATGTGATGTGACTATGCTTTCAGGTTTTGCTACCCTGGCTTCACACAATAATGGCATATAAACCAAAATTTTTAATCAAGTAAACCATTTTTCCCATGATTATTGCTTAGGTCAGGGCATTTATATCACAGCAAGATACATCAAAATCAATATGCTTCTGTTGAGGGAGTCCATGTAGTACTAGATAAACACAAAGACTTACTCCAGCATTTCTATGTTGCATTCTGCCTGGGTCAAGATATCACACAATAGACTCACATCAGTGCGGGAATGGCGTGTGAAACTGAGGTTTAAGTATTGCAAACTGTGCATTTTAATTAAATCAAAGAACAGGTGCTTTGTAGGTAAGAAGGACATATCATTTGCCCTGTGGAACAAAGAGAGGTATCCATCAGTTTTCATCCAGTCTGAGCTCTCATCTGTGGCAAAATACTATATCCCATAATGACCACATAACTCTAATTTTGTAACCCAGTGACACAGCTCACTGGTTCTCAAACTGGGTGAATTTTCTCTTCAATATGGAACTATGTGTAAACATGTGGAAGTAAAATAGACTATTACATTAAGAAGCTATTTAGAATCTAAACAGCAGAGCCTCCCTGCCCCAAGCCCACTTATCATCCTACAATTCATGAGACAGCCATTAAAGAGTGGTCAGCAACAGACATTATAGGTATCAAGCTAGTAACGTTCTACTTTAGACTATATAAGCCTTCTTTTATACAGTTATCTGAGAGATGGTAGGGAGGCTATTCTGTTACTTCTATGATATGAATAAACCAAAGTCAACCTCTAACTTACCTAAGTATTTTAATGGTGCATCTGCTGTAATTCAAATGATCATACAAGACAGAAAAGGCTGGACCACTGAAACTACTTTTTTCCATTTGGAATTCCTGGATGTTCTTACTGTTTATGAATACAGAGCATATTTGATTCCAATAGGTTAGAAGTTTTTCCCTGTAACAGAGGAGAAAGAAATATATTCCCCTGTTAAAAAGTTAACTTAAGTGGCTAGAAAGGTGGTTCAGTGTTTAAGAGTATTAGTTAAGAGTATTTGCTTATTTTGAAGAAGACCCAAGTTCAGTTTCCAACATCAACATGATGGCTCACAACCATCCATAAATCCAATTTCAGGGTTATCTGACACCCTCTTTCCATCCACCATGGGCCTATGCGACACCATGTATAGGCACACATGTAGGTAAAAGCATTCATACCCATAAAATATTAACAAACAGATGATAAAACTACCAGTGTTTTCAGACCCTACTCATTTACAAAAAGTTAAGTCAAGCCATTCACAGTATATGAATGTACCAAATTGACTTCCCAAACAGAGTAAGCATAGCCAGCTAAGGTCATTTCAAGTTTGCATTTTTTAGACAGACATGTATCAAGGTCTGTGGGATTCTAGTCATTACAGCTTGAGGTAGAGATGCAGTTAATATCTATTGGAAAAACCTCAGAGAATTCTCAGAATCCTATACACTGGGAACCAGGCTTGCCTTGGGCTTTTCCCTACCCTCCTCACTTCCACAGCAAGATAAGACAACCCAGATAGCTTGGCAGTACAGAAGATAAGAACCCTGCCTTACAGATAACATTGGTGGTATTAGAATGAAAAGATGAGGCAGAGCTCCACAACCCCTGAATCAGAACCTAGAACAAGAATCTCCTGACTCAAAATTCAAATTGGACAACTTACTCAGTATATATCTTCGATAATATAATTGACATCTCTGACTACTTTTCTTACCTCTAATTGGATAATCAAACTTGCCTTGTGTCTGGAATGTGTGCTTGTGTGTGTGTGTGTGTGTGTGTGTGTGTGTATGTGCGCACACTTGCGCACATGCGCATGCACCATATTATGTGTATTGATGTCAAAGTTTTCCTATAATGTGGTCTAAGGAATTGAACTTAGGTCATCATACTTGAGAGCAAGCATCTTTTATCTGCTGAGTCATCTTTGCAGCTCACCTTTTATGTATTATAATATAAAATGGGTCAATTTCGTACATGGTTTTGTGTGTATATGTTCGTCAGTGTATGCACATGTGCATATGTGTACATACATGTGCTTGCATATGGAAGCCATATCTCTGCATCCTTAGTGTTGGCATTATAGGTACATACTGCTAAGTACAGCCTTTTATTAAAAAAATATGGATCCATGGGATGAAACCAAAGTTCTCATACTTGTCCAGAAACTGAATCCATATCCCCCCATAACACTTAACCTTTAAAAAGTTGTTTGCAGCTAAGTGATTAAGAGAAAGGTTGAGTGTGATGCTCATATCTCAGAAGGGGCAGAAAACACACATGACATAGACAATCACACTCCATCCTCACAGTACACTATAGTGTGTTACTATCATTGCTGCTTTGATAATGAGGACACTATAACTAAGAAAAGGAAAATCTCTTCCAGGGCTCCTAGACAGTCAGCTTAACTTATTCTATTGTTTCAGAAAGATCAGAAGTTTAAGGCCAGCCTTGATTACAGAATGAATAGGAGGCAAAACCATGGCTCACAAAATTAAAAAAAAAAAAAAGAGCCAGGGCTTCTGTTCCTGGTAAAGTGCTAGCCCTGGATTCTTTTCTTAGGATGGAAAAAAAAAGAGAATCAAGAGATCAAAAATTATACACATGTATTTTTGTTATTTGATATTTTTTGGAGACAGAATATCACTCTTTAGACCACATTGATCAACCTCAACCCCATATTGTATATAGCCTAGACTATTTTTAAAATGCTGAGAGAACACCTTGGTTCAGTTTCCTGGGAGCTGTGGTTACAAGCATTAGACCCTCAGACCTGGCTAAGTGTGATTGATATGTTGTGTTCCTTACATATACTGTCTTATATATTACAGGCCTGTGCTAATGCTTGGATTATGGGCATGTACCCTTATACTTGGAAACAGTTCAGTGGTTAATTTAAGAGTGTTTCCCTTTCTTCAGAGAATAAGAATTTGATCCCAGAAACGACAACTGACATTTAGCTATAAGGCCAAGGAATATGTGATGAATACTTCTGGCCATTGTGGCAATCTCTACATGTGTGTATACTAACATGCAACCATATACACATGAATGAAAATGAATCTTATAAAAAAGAAACTGTTGTCAAAACAAATGAATTTCTCTTTTTTGCCCTTAAAAACTGTTATTTTAAATTTATTTTTAAAACCATTTAATTGAAATTCTATTCCATCACCTTCTCCCTCCTGTACCTATTGTGTACCACCAACTCTCAAGCTGAAAGATTATATATATATATATATATATATATATATATATATGAATGTATATGTTTATGTACATGCAT